CTTTACTGTGTCTGCATTCAAGCTGAGAATTCTACAAATGCTGCTTCCCACGAAGAAGCGAGGGGAGGGGAACGGGGGCAGGAACCGGCCCCCGCCGAGCTGTGAGATGCCAAGGCAGCCTGGAGCTGCCACTGCAGCCCTGGCAGCAACTACGGCAGGGCGGGATCGAGACAGTCAGTCTCCTGCTATTGTGGGAGCATCTCCAAAGAGTGCCAGCTCTGCACAGATGCCTATTGACAAATTGTGTGCTTATCTGCTGTGTTGGCAGTTCTATAACCAGGCCTGCTGCTTACTGTCCTTGCAGGACTGAATACAGAAGAAGGCACAGCTGCCACCCTCCTCTCTGGGCTTCTCTCATAGGCTGTCTTTTCTCTCCTGAACTCAGCCAAGCTGCAGGCTCCCTTTGGAGAAGCTTACCAGCTGGCTGCACACTGATCTGCAGCCAATTGGCATCACAGTCTGGGAGCAGTTTTGCAGCTCGATTCTGCCACCTCTGTGGACTGCTGCCCCTGGAAAGGCCCCCCCTGCGACTTGATCCTGAATCAAACAGGGTGTTGTCATGTGTGACTAACTGCAGGCAAGGGAACAGTGGTGGGACAGCATGGCAGGGTCTGGCACAGAGCACCTCAAAAGTCTCCTCTGCTCCAGCTCCTGTTTCATGCCATGGCATGTGAAGAGAAGTCTTCTGCAGCAGCAGGAACTGCCAGAAGGAGTCCCAGGGAGACTCAGTGCTCAGCCCCTGGTGTGAGGCTTCAGCAAGAGTGACAGCATGTTCAGGGCTCATGTCCCACCTACCTCTTGGTGGAAGGTATTCTGCAGAAACTCATATGGGACAGGAGCCCAGCTTGCTCAATGGGAGCATCCCAAAAAGGGCTGGTGTGGCCCTGCGCTAGTGTGGGTGAATGGGACCATGACCTGGGAGCATCTCAGGGACAAGATATCCCCTTGAGCCTGGCACCAATCTCCTGGCATCTCCTGGGACTTTGCAGTCTTGCACCTCTCACCAGATGATGGCAGCTGGCAGGCCCAGGGGCTGCCCCAAGGCTTGTGTCACTCCCTCCCTCCTGCTCTGCCTCTGCTCTCTTGCTCTGCCCAGACAGAGCCCTGTGCCCATGCTAGAAGAGGCCTATGGGTGCCAGCCAGCACTGCTGATAACATCTGTATGAAAGCTGCTGGGTAGGGAAGGGCTGCAGTGCCCTGAATGAGTACACCCAGATGCAGAAAAAAAAGGACGGAGCTGAGAGGCAGTTGGCAGCTCTGAAGTCTGTCCTGGTGTGCCAGGCTGGCTAGGAGGACAACTGCAGTCTAGAGACACCCAGGTCAGCTGGTATTGCAGAACAGTGGGAGATGGCTTCTACAAGGGAGGTGGTAGCCCTCCAGGACCCACAGGGATGATAGCCCCTGGCAGGCTGGAGGACAAAGCAGTTGGGGGTGCTGGTGGCAGTTTGTCACGCTCCAATGTCTGGGGGTGAATGTGGCAGCTTTGATGAGGTGAGACAGGAGGCCCTCAGGTCCTTTCCACCCACAGCACCCCTGCTTCACCCTGGGAAAGACCTCTACTTCTAACCAAAGCACAGCAAATTACTTTGTGGCTTTCAAATCTCAGGGACAGGAGCTGGAGCACAGAAGAGTCTAGAGGTGCTCTGTGCAAGCCCAACAACTGCTCACTCAGCCCCCACCCTGGGGTTGGGGAGAGAATCAGAAGGTTAAAAGTGAGAAAACTCATGTGTTGAGATAAAGACAGTTTAATAGGTAAAGCAAAAGCCACCCACATAAGCAAAGACAAACAAGGAATTCATTCAGTACTTCCCATTGGCAGGCAGGTGTTCAGCCATCCTGAGGACAGCAGGGCACCACCACACATAGCACTTACTTGGGAAGACAAATGCCATCACTCTGAACAGCCTTGTGACAGATGCATTCACTTTTTTTGGGCTTAAATAAGTGAGTTTTAAATAGAATAAATCAGTTATAATATGTGATTTAGTGTGCTGTTTGCTTAGCTCTGCTTACCTAGCATGAGTAGCTGGATTTGCTGAAGCCATAAACTGCAAGCTGTAAATTTCCACTCTAGATTTACTGAACATGTACCTACTTTGTCAAACAAGGCCTCCAGAGCCAGCATAAATAAGATATGGAGGCTTCAGGGCTACAACCATCAACAGCAGCTGCAACTAGACAAGATAATTGCCTGTCTCAAGGCAGTGAAGGAATCCAATGATGAACAAGAGGACCCCAGACCCAAATATTGCTACTGGACTGAACCATTGAATGAGGGGCAGGCAAATAGTGTGTAAGGGTATAATTATTCAGGGATTTCTTTGTTTGGCTCAGCCTCTCTCCAGAGACACAAGCTGACCATGCTGCTGTATCAATCTATTACATTATTTCTTTTTCTAAAATCCAATGCCTGAGTCTGCTACAGGAAACCTAGGATTTAAACTCCAGAGCAAACTAACACTGGACAGCCAGGCAGAAGGTAAGTGAAGTGGGAATAAACATGATGAAACTTTGAAATCTTAACTAAATGGTATAGAGAATTTGGTTTGTACATATAGCCATATATGCATATGTATAGCACATATAGCTTTAGCTATAAATACATATAATCCCTTAGCTGTAAAACTGGGACCAAATCTGGGACTAAGAGTTGATCCAGACATATTTGGACTCCTCCCTGAAAAGCAGTTTAGAAAGCAAAGGGGTGCATTCTGAACCTCATGATTCAACAGGAAGGTCTCCCCTACCTTTCTGAACCTACAGTCCCTGTGTTAATAATTCTAAATTTATTCTAACCCAATTATCCCTCTGTATGTTTCCTCCATGTAGTAAGTAATAGAGTGAACTTTGCCATCAAACTGTTAAATCACACTTTTATCTGAACACACATCTACAACAGTCCCCATCTTCCTTCTCCTTCCCCAACCTTTATATCCTGAGCATGATTCCATATGGTATGAAATATTCCTTTGGTCAGTTGGGGTCAGCTGTCCTAGCTGTAGAATCCTAGAATCATGGAATCATAAAATAATTTTTCTTGGAGAAGACCTTTAAGATCATCAAGTCTAACCACTAACCTAACTCTACCAGTAGAGCCTGGTGTTAAACCATGTCCCTAAGCAACACATCTACATGTCTTTTAAATACCCCCAGGTATGGTGACTCCATTACTTCCCTGGGCAGCCTGTTCCAGTGCCTGACAAGCCTTTTGGTGAAGATTTTTTCCCTATTATCCAATCTAAATCTCCCCTTTAACAACTTGAGGTCATTTCCTCTTGCTTCATTGTTCGTTACTTGGGAGAAGAGACCAACACCCACCTTGCTGCAACCTCCTTTCAGACAGTTGTGGAGAGTGATAAGCTATGCTCGCAGCCTCCTCTTCTCCAGCTAAACAACCCCAGCTCCCTCAGCTGCTCCTCATAAGACTTGTTCTCCAGACCAGTTCCAGATTTGTTCTCTAGAAGTTGTGTCCCATCTCAACTTCTTGCACACCCCCAGCCTGCTCACTCGTGGGGTGGGGTGAGAAGCAGAAAAGGCCTTGACACTGGGTAAGCACTGCTCAGCAATAGCTAAAACATCCCTGTGTTATGAAAAAGTTTCCAGCACAAATCCAAAACACAGCCCCAGAGTGGCTGCTATGAAGAAAATGAACTGTATCCTAGCCATAGCCAGCACAGCATGACATCTTGGGGTGAGAAGTATCCACAAACCAGAGCACTTCCTTCTGCAGGAAAGATGAATAAAAGGCACAGAGAGCAAATAACCCTTCCTGAGGGTTAACCAGGGATACCCCAGCCTCTTGGCTTTGGCATCCATTCTTACACATTTCCAGCAGCACGGAGATCAGAGACATTTCTGTTTGTGGTGAGACATTCATTAGCATTTGAGAGATGATACTTTCATATTTAAGCTGAGGCTAACGTATGCATGTAGATTGCACAGTTGTGTGCAAAGTATTAGAAGAACAGAAAGCATCTGAGAAGTGTAACTGGGCATTTTGTACATGGTTTGTTTTATCAAAGGCTAATGCAAATCTATTTGCCTTTCATTCTCTTGACACTTCAGCAACAAAGTTCAGGGAAGAACAGAAAAGGCAAATCCAGTTCTTTTCTGAGTCATGGATGTGCAAAGTCACGGCAGATACTGCAGCTGTACTGGTACAGCTGTGAACAGGGTTTGACCTGGTAAGTATGAAAATGTCTATCAGGTTAGGTCATTTGAAGCTGTGTCTTTCTTACACATTACATGTCATTTAAGTATTTGTTGAAAAAAGCCTGGATTTGTAGCCAAGCATGAACCTGAGCTTTAGAGTGAGCCCTATGCTCCCCACCCAGGACTGCCCACTTGTGAAAAATGGGGTGCTTTCCTGTGGCGTACAAAGGGAAAAAGGGAGGGTCAATACAGTGCCCTGTTCCAGAGTAGGAGAGAATCTGAAAATTTTCCTTCCCTTGAGCCTGCAAGAGCTTGCAGGCTGCCATAGCATAGTACTCGGAATTAATAACATGATCATCTTGTCCAACAATGAACAGTAACTGTGCCTCAACTTTCTCCAGTGGGATCAGGCTTTGGTTGCCAGGGGCTTGAAAGGGGTCGATAGAACCTTCAGAAGAATCAAGAATATGGGAATCCGTGACCTTGATGCGTCGTTCATCAAAGGGCAAGGGAGGGATGGTTTTGTCCTTGTAACAGAGGGGAACAGCTGTGATGGCCACAGGGCCATTGAGGGAAGCGACGGCGCTGATGTTCTTCAGGAAGGCGGCCATGGCGAGAGACAGATCAGCTCCTTTGGAGTAACCGAGCAGCCCAATGCCTGGTCCCTTTACCTGATAGACAGGAGGAAAACCTCATCAGTACTGGGCTGAAGAACGCAGCAGCTAGTTCCTGGAGAGGGACACTGTATAGTGCTGAGAGCGCAAAATGATGTGAAGGAGGTGATGGCAGTGATTAGGTTTCCTTCTGGACAAGTGCCAAGCACATCCTACACACAAATTCCCCACACTCCCACAAAAAGCATTTTTCTAAGATGAGAACCAACAGAGACAGCACAATTACACCATTTGAGCATAGGTTGCAGGAGAAAAGTAAGATTATTCAGAGGTGATCTGGAAAGTTTTTGGTCATGGGGAGCTATAGGGATGACCGCTGTGTGAAGAGACCAGGGACTGCCTCCCTTGTCAGACAGAGCCAGTTTTATCCTGCTCCAACATTAACCCATCACTGCCCAAAGAGGTGGCAGACAGGTCTTTTTAGTTTTGGTCTTGTTTCTCAATATGCTACTCTGTTGTTAACAGTTAATAAATGAAATTAACCTTCCCTAAGTCAAGTATTTTCTGCCTGTGGCAGTAACTGGTGAGTTATCTCTCTCTCTTTATCTTGACATGAGATTTTTCATCTTAGTTTCTTTAGCTGTAGTGTTGAGGAAGGAGAGAGGCTTGGTGGATATCTGACAGCTACATACTGGCAAGTGCTTTTTGTTTGTTTTGTTTAGATTAAGGGTTCACATGGTGACAATTCATGACAGCTGCTTCACAAAATGCATGTCTCTCTGCTCCACAACCTCCTCACCTTACTGTCTCAGACACCATCTCTGTCACTCCAGATAACAATATCTGAATTATACCCACCTTCTGCCCTTCCAGTGCATATCTGTTTGACTCTTCCTCTTTCCTAGAACTCAGACACCCGAACTCCTGACAAATGGAGCCAGGTGAGCATTTCAGCAGCTTCCTCCAGAGATAACTCAAGAACGCAGCAGCTAGTTCCTGGAGAGGGACACTGTATAGTGCTGAGAGCGCAAAATGATGTGAAGGAGGTGATGGCAGTGATTAGGTTTCCTTCTGGACAAGTGCCAAGCACATCCTACACACAAATTCCCCACACTCCCACAAAAAGCATTTTTCTAAGATGAGAACCAACAGAGACAGCACAATTACACCATTTGAGCATAGGTTGCAGGAGAAAAGTAAGATTATTCAGAGGTGATCTGGAAAGTTTTTGGTCATGGGGAGCTATAGGGATGACCGCTGTGTGAAGAGACCAGGGACTGCCTCCCTTGTCAGACAGAGCCAGTTTTATCCTGCTCCAACATTAACCCATCACTGCCCAAAGAGGTGGCAGACAGGTCTTTTTAGTTTTGGTCTTGTTTCTCAATATGCTACTCTGTTGTTAACAGTTAATAAATGAAATTAACCTTCCCTAAGTCAAGTATTTTCTGCCTGTGGCAGTAACTGGTGAGTTATCTCTCTCTCTTTATCTTGACATGAGATTTTTCATCTTAGTTTCTTTAGCTGTAGTGTTGAGGAAGGAGAGAGGCTTGGTGGATATCTGACAGCTACATACTGGCAAGTGCTTTTTGTTTGTTTTGTTTAGATTAAGGGTTCACATGGTGACAATTCATGACAGCTGCTTCACAAAATGCATGTCTCTCTGCTCCACAACCTCCTCACCTTACTGTCTCAGACACCATCTCTGTCACTCCAGATAACAATATCTGAATTATACCCACCTTCTGCCCTTCCAGTGCATATCTGTTTGACTCTTCCTCTTTCCTAGAACTCAGACACCCGAACTCCTGACAAATGGAGCCAGGTGAGCATTTCAGCAGCTTCCTCCAGAGATAACTCAGGCAAAGTGACAGGCACTTTGCAGAAGAAGCACTCCCTGGGGATCTCGGTGAGACATGGAGGGTGCTCCTACCTGTGGGTGCTGCAGCATATAGTTCACTGCCTCTTCAAAGTATTCCAGGTGGAGTTCAGTTGACTGAACTCCAGTCTGATTGACTGAAATTACTCCTTCCAATGTTTCCCTGGTTTTGAATGGATCAAAGCAGGTACACAAGAGGAACTGCAGAAAATTAGTCTTTTGGGGAAAGGACACAACCAATGCAAATTAACTGGCAAGATGCTGAGTGGCAGAAAGACAGATATCACCTATGTAAGATGCCATGCTTGGCAAAGAGAGCTGGGAGTAACCCTGCTCTCTCACAGCTCTTCTGTCACTTGTGTGGTCCAAAGAAAATTATTCCACTCCCAACAGACACTCAGTCCCCACAGTATGGGAGCACTTTGGGATGGACTGATTCCCCTGGAGAGCCCCGAGATGTCACCCAGGGAATACAATCCCCCACACAGCAGGGCATCACCATCATGGAGCCAGTGCTGTGCTGGAGGACATGTAAGCTCCCATTTGTCCGCGCTCAGGGGGACTACAGACAGCTCCACATGAGGTCAGCTCTGCACATTGGAACAGACATGGGGCAGCAAGGCAGGGTCTGGCACAGAACCCCTGTCCCCTCCTCTCTGCTCCAGCTCCTTTAGGCCCCCCTGCTCCAGAGGGCCAGTGAGGGAGTGTGACTGGGGCTTGGGTCTCTCCCTGGGGGGAGGTGTTCTGAAGAAGCTCATGTGGGATGGGAGCCCACCTTGCTTATCAGGAGCATTCCAAGAGTGGCTGACACTGCCCTGAACTGGTGTGAATGCATGGGACTGTGGCCTGGGAGCATCTCAGGGGAGAGACTCGCCCACGAGCCTGGTGCCAATCTCCTGGCATCTCCTGGGACTTTACAGTCTTGCACCTCTCACCAGATGATGGCAGCTGGCAGGGCCATGGGCTGCCCCAAGGCTTGTGTCGCTCCCTCCCTCCTGCTCTGCCATCTGCTCTCTCACTCATGCCCAGAGCACCGTACCCACATGAGGGTGGACCTATGGGCTTTGGCTGGGCTGGTTGAGAGCATGGATTACAAAATACCCTGGGTAGGGAAGGGCCTGGGAGTTTCTTTTTCTACTAATTCTCTTTATCAGGTCTGATCTCTTACATAAATTCTGCAATCCAAACACAAAGGAGCATGTGTACATCCCTTGAGAGAAGATTTCAGTACAGCATATCGAATGACCACATCATACTGGGACTAGAAGTGGAAGTTACCAGCCAGAGCACATCCTTCCAGAGGAGAGGTGAATCCAAAGCACAGAAGACACAGCTTTTCCGGAATGATGTCTCATAGCATCCTGAGAGCTCTTATCTAGAGACACCATCACCACTGTTTTTTCTGACACCCCATATTGTACAGTTTCTGCAGCTCAGTAGTCAGAGATGTTTCCATTTGTGATGAGACATTAAGTGTGCTGAAATCTCTTCACCAAAAGGTGCTTGTGATGGAGGTTGCTTTAAGGTACAGGCTGAAGATGCTATAAGCAAGGTGAGAACATAGTTACATGGAGAGTACAGAATTTTTTTTAAAGTTCACAGGCCACCAGGGAGATAAATGGACATATTGGACATGATCTATTCAATTAAGATAAATTCAAATGCTTTCCCTGTTCTCAATGCCTGATCAAAAAAGATCAGAGAAATTACAGAAAATCAAACTCAGTTCTGCTCACATCTGTAGGTTTACCAAGCCATGTTCTTGGGGTTATATAGATGCAGGTGTGAACAATATTAATGCAATAAACTAAAAAGTCAACTCAGGTCCTTCAGACCTAGGTGTGCTTGTTGGTGGGGTAGAATAAAGCCTAGATCTCTTGCCAAGCATCATTCTGGTCCTCTGAAGGAGCTTTATGCTGCCTTGTCCCCCATCTTAGATGGCCAGCTGGTTCAAAATAGACTCTTTGCTCTGGGTGAAGGGTGAAAAGAGAAGCAGAATATGTCTCATACTTGCTTGGAGGTTGCAATTTTTTTCTGGTTTGATTAACAAAATGCTTGCCTTTACAGAAATTATATGCCTGGCAAGAGATGAAGACGAAGTGCTTGTCAAGAAGAGACGTCTCCCCAGGACTTTGAAGGCTATGTTCAAGACTCAAATAATGCTGAACTGAACAGCACACAAGGCAAGAACAGCTTCTTAGCTGGACTGTAGATTAAAGTAACTGGTGGGGACATTCAGGTATGCTGAGATTTCTCAGAGTACATAGGGGTGATGGCAGACACCAGGGTTTCTGCTGCACTAGCTCCAGGCATGCCTCACTTTGCATGTCCCATATGACACTCTTACCTCCTGACCCCCCACCCCCTGACCAACACCAGCAGCATAGGCAGGATGCTGCCTACATTATTAAAGTAAGGAATTACTCTCTCAAATCAGACTGCCATTGCTGGAGTCAAGGTGTGGCACAACTCCTACCCACATTCGAAAGGCATTTGCACAATTAGCTCTTGCTGCCAGACAACCCAGACACCAAATGTCCCTGGCAGTCCACTGGAGCCATGGCCCTGTGTTTCCTGTAAGTGACTGGGTGAGCTGTCATATGGGCACATAGTTGCTTGTCTTTCCTACTACCTCTACAAAGTTTTATTTTATGTTGTCAGACTCCTTTACTGTTTGTACTACACCAACCCAGAGAAAGTGGTCCTCAGTGCACTCACAGCATAGCAAATACAGATGGGCCATTACCAAGCTGGGACTCACCAGACCTAACCTCAGCTTCTAGTAGTTACTCATCTATCCAGACCATTATCTAAACTTCTTCTGACCTCAAAGGGAAAGACCAGACCTAACCTCAGCTTCTAGTAGTTACTCATCTATCCAGACCATTATCTAAACTTCTTCTGACCTCAAAGGTAAAGAGAGGGACCCACAGTCTCTCAGTCACCTCCATACACATTCTTGTCATTACACTCCTGCATCACTTCACTCCGGCACTTCAGGCACAAGTGCTTTTGGAGGAACAAGCAACTCTTGGATATATGCCAGGGATACAGCCCCTATCAAGCCTTGCCTTACAGCATGCAGAACATTCCCCTCCCTTAGCCATGGTGCAGCCTCTGGAGGAGAAGCAACTTCCCCAGGTCCATCAGACTGGAGCTGACAGAGGGCTTGTGCCAGGTACAGCTGGGGCAACAGTCCCTCACATCTACCCCATTGCCTGATGGAGCAGATAGGCTCTGGCTACTTGGTGTGTCTTAGTGCTCCACAGTGGGAAGTCCTTCTCAAAGCACCTGGTCCTTCCCCATATCCCCCCCCCCCTGGGCAGGGAGATTGCAGCTGAGGGGCACTTTCATCAAGTATTGCCTGGAGCCCTTGCTGCAGCCCTGGCAGTGCCTGTGGCAGGGGGGGCTCAGCACAGCCAGTCCCCTGGCACCGTGAGAGCCTCTCCAAAGGCAGCAGCTCTGCCCAGGCCCTGGTGTCCCACAGCTGCACAGGCTGTACCTGTCCAACCTGTCAGGCCAGCTGCAATGGGTACCAGTTCCAAATGGCAAGTGCAAACACAGAGCAGGTTCTTGGGAACAATTTGCTGTATGTGGGAAGTATAAGGAAGATCACAATGCTAGTTGTTTGGACATGTTTTCCTCTCCAGAGCCAGATCCCCAGTTATAAGATGTGGCATCAAAAGGTTTAACAAGGGCTCACACAAGCATACTTATTACTAGTAGGCTCAAGGCTATTGCAGCTTGTGGATCTGCAGCAGTGGAGCAACATGGGCTGGACACCAAACTTCAGGAGTTTGATGGGAGAAGCCTCTTCTTGGAGGCTGCTGATCTGGGTGTGGGTATGGGAAATTCCAACTGCCATGAAACATTATGAAATCAAGCAATTGCCTGTTTTCTCTTAAACAGCACCATTGCACTGTAAAACCATCAGTACTCAAGAAGGGTACCTTTGGTTCCAATATTATAAAAACCATAACATGTACATGCTCCAAGTGAACACTCTGATTTAAGATACTCCAGAAATCAAGGGAACTGGGTGAACTTTTGACCCATCTCTTCGTACATGATCGCACACATACTAGAAAGCTAGGGGCCACAAAGCAGTGTCTGTGTTGTTAACTTAATGCAAGTGGCTTTATTTTCTGAATTTTTCAAAAGATGCCATGTGCATTTGGCTAAGCTGCACAGTTTTCCTTGATAGCTATTGTCTGTAAAATTAAAGTTATTATAGTTTTCTACCTTGCCTTGGGTCGCAAATTGAAAAGCATTGATACTTAAGAAATATGTAGATCTTCATAGCTGGAGAAGGATGAAGTATTGCTATTTCAAGTGTATTTGTAGCATTGTTATGTGTTCTGTATTCCATTATTATTATTATTAATTCTAACATGCCTGGAAGATGCACCCCTATTTTTACATAGGGAACAAAGTATGAAGCAGATAAATTGATTCCTTATTCCCAAACTGTGATCAGTTTGTCACAAGGTCTAAAATCCTCCAGCACATTTAGACATCTCACCGTTTTCCTCAGTGGAAGTCAGTGTAGTGATCTTTAAGAGAAGACCACTGTACATCAGTCAGTTAGTGACCCACAGCAGAGCTAACCTGAGCACGCCCAGACCTGTGCTGTATGGTGCTGCATGTACAGTGAGACCTTCAGGTGGGTGCTGTGCAGAAACCCTGTGAGGAAGGAAGAACTCAGCCAGCTCTTCCTTACCGGGGAGCAGGCAGGCAGCTCCCACCCAGTAACTGCAATTACACCACCTGCATGGCCTTGCCTTTATAGAACAGTGCAGCAACATGCCAACATTGTTCCTGTTTGACTAGACCTCAAAAATAGAGCTGTTTCCTTCATAAAAATCTTACTAAAACCTTGAAAGACCAAGAAGTATGAATCTCTGCTATGGACCATGTCTACACTACTCGGGGTTCCCAGCATCTAAAGAGATGTAAGATCATCTGTGCTACTGTTCTTAGAGTGTTAGCTCTAATAAATAGCATTTTTAATGATACCTTACAGCATGAGAGTGCCTTTGTTGCTGGGATCATAATGCACCAGCACCTCCTAGTGCAAAACATCTGGCATAGTTGGCAGGTCTCCGTGAGAAACACCTTTCTGGAGACAGAATGAAGTATAAAAGAGAAACTCTGGCTGGCTGGCCCCACACAAATCTGTAAGGGAAATTTGCAAGGAGTTCATGTCAGGTGGTTTTCCCATTGGTATGGAAACTGGGGAGGAATTACCAGAATACCTGACCCCAGCTGAAATATTATGCTTCCTTAGAAAAGAAAGGCCAGGAAAAGGAAATGCTAAAGAGAATTAGTGCCATCTTTGGTTATTACTAACATACTTGAAATGGACAAGGAGGTGCTTACAGCCAATGCAGAAAGTCCTGCACGAGCTGTTGGTGCAACTCTGCACCACAGCCCCCAAAGCAGTGAGCTGCAGTGCAGGTGCCTGCCATGCAGCTGCCCATGGTGCAGGTATCTGAGGTGTAGCCACCTGTGCTGCAAATGCTCAGGGCACAAGCAGGTGCAAGTCAGGCACACAGTGTGGAGCAGCCCAGGAAGGACACCACCAAGGCATGAGGTATTTGCCAGAGGGCTGATAGGTGAGACCAGGACCACTGATGCTCTGGCAAGGACAAGTAGACAGAGAGATCAGAGGACAAGTGTGGCAACAGCATTTTGGTCCAGCCACTACTGACTGACAAAATAAAGGGACCCCCAGGGGTCCCTCCTGTGGTGTGCAATTTTACACAGCCTGATTTTCAAGATTTAGCAAAAAAATATGGGGAAAAAGACAGGAAAGGCTGTTGCAAGTATGGGACTTTGGAGGACATGGTGTATACTTAAATTCTAAACAATTGGAGTGGTTGGGTGCCATCTTGCAAAACCCCGACAAGCCAGCAGCTGAGAGGAACACAGAGTAATGCAGTTTGCTCCTTGTGGGTGTGC